AGAGAGAGAGAGAGAGAAGATAGAAGCAAATCCGTGCACGGATTTCTATTTCTATTTCGTGGACAAACACGTGGACGCGCGAAAGTAAACTCGAGCGCGGCAATGTACACAGCGAATTATCGCGGATTCGATTCGAGAATTTCGAATCATGGCCGATCGTGGCTCAATTGGAACGATTAATTTCGCCTCTCGCCGTATAAACATAACAAATGGCCGGCCGCTGATAAATTCGCGGCGATAGCACGCGTTCCATATGGCTTGCCGCCATCCTTTCCGTCCGACCAATTGCCGGTATCGATCACTGCACGTGAGAGAGGCGGCGTCTGCCCGACCAGAAACGCTCGTTACTACTGTTTATCGAGCGGCTAATCGCTCGATTCTTACCAAGCGTGTGCCAGAAATGTCCGTTGTAAAAAAAGTAACTAGAACTAGTAAGTAACTAGTTGAAAATCTCGAATAAAGTTAATGCTTAAATAATATTTATTGGTAATTATTATAAATTTTTAATATAAGTTTGATATTGCAATTATTTCCGATTATTATTATGTTTCGAACGATAAATTATCGAAGTCACGTATGGAAGTAACTATATTCGCAATTTCGACTAGTAAATTTTGTTCGTCGGTGTTACGTAAATATGTGAATCAGAATTGATTTTCGGTATTGGCCCGTTGAAAAAGTAACTAGTTAAAAATCCCAACTCTGCTTTTATTAAAATGGTTAAATAACATTTATTCATAGATGTTATAGCTTTTCGTATAGTCTCGCATTGCAATTATTGCGATTAATTATTACGTTTTGAACCGTTTTGAATAAATTATCGAAGTAACTTTATGAAAGTAATTTCGACTATTAAATTTTCCCCATCATCCTTATTAAATATGTATCGGAATTTTTTGGCATTAAAAAGTAACTAGTTAAAAATCTCGAATAAAGTTATGCAATGTTTTATTTATTGACAATTATTATAATTGATCCGCTCTTCGGATAACTTAGACATTATTTATTTGCGATTATTCGATGCTTTGAATAAATTATCGAAATTAAAATTTTGCTTATCTCTGGTATAGATACATCTTTGCAAGTATTATAACAATGAATAATAATAATTGCTTGTAATTGCTTCAAATTTAATGTTATTTTCTAATAATCGAAAAAAGTTGCCTGTATAATTTGAGATTTAGAAGAGACAAGATTTAAAAAATAAAATTTATTTTTGAATTTTAAAAAATATTATCTTCGAGGTTGTTAAAAATTTTATTCTTATTATAAGTAATATTAAGAATTTCAAAAGTATTATTTTCTAACAGTGAAGAAAAGAAATTGGTTCCAATCTCGATAATTATTAATCAATACAAAAATATTCGAACAAAATTTTCTTCACGATATAATCGATAATAGAAAGAAAATTATTGAAATACAGAAAGGACAGGGAGAAGGAGAGAAATCTTTTTTGATTTTCATGACGCGCAATATAGTATACGACTTTTCTGCATCCATCCATAGAATTCGAATCGTCGTCCAGCATGATCGAAATTCTATTCACGTGCCGTCCCTTTTATCTGAATTTCCTGACTCAGATTTGCATCTCGTATCGAATATATGGCAACCGTATGATAAAGTTCTCCCCGGCTCAAGATACGACACGTGTCCAGCTCTCAGGCCCGTGAACGACGTGATTTACGATCCTCCCCCACCTTTCATGCAGACATCCCCTAGACGAGACGTTGTTTCTTGTTGCAAACGAAATTTCCATCTTTTGATGGCCGGCACGCGACGTTTAATTAATCGTTTCGAGCGATTTTAGAATTGCTGTTTATAATATCGGTGTAGAATTAATAAGGATTAAAAGAAATTAGAATATTTTCATCGAGGGTATGATAATAAAAAATAATTCATCTCGCGAAATAAATTGAATTCAAAGAAATCAAACCGATTGGGTTCTTGAACTCTCGATATTGCGTTTAAGAATCGATACTCGAGTCCATCGATCCTTAATTAATCGTATATGTCGGAAGATCTATTGCGATTGCATATTAAAAATTAATCGATCGATTATATTTTCCAGGAAGAGGGGGACACGAGCTATTGATACTGAAACGCGTCTTCGACGCGGCATTATTAAACGGCGACCAGTTTCACAATGGATTCGTAATGGGTGTATTATTCATCGAGACAACGATCATGCTTCCTTTCCATTCGAACAAAGCACGTTGAATTAAAAGTAGCGCTCGTTATCGTTCGAGATTAATTAAACGCTTGTTATTCGCCGTGTGTGTCGTGCGAACATGTGTGTCGTGTACGTTGTGCATGAACGAACGATTAGATACCGTACGGAAGGTAGGAGAATTTTTTTGAAGGAAGTTAATTGCTGACAAAGGACGTTGAGTTGAAAATAGCAGTCGTTTTTGTAGAAGCGAGATTAATTAGACTCTTGTTTCATACCGTGAATATTTCGTAATTCGAGATACTGTGGAATATTCTTTTAGAAACGAACATGTTCGTCGTAAAGGTAAAATTTAGCTTGAGAAACTCGATTAAATTCGATTAAAATTAGGAAAAATTTCAACCGTTGTAACTTCGAAGATAACGACTTCCGGTTAATAAATAAAAGACCATTAGAAGCGCGAAATCTTCCCCTTTAAAACGCTTTCTCATTTGTCTCGCTACGACTTCCGGTTCCCGAGATATCATCGTATAAAGAGAAAGTAATTTTTAATCGTTTACCTTAAATTTGAATTACCTTAAATTTTAAATCCTATCGGAATTAGGAAAAATTTGAATCGCTATAATTCCGAGAAAAATGACTTCCGGTTGATAAATGAAAGACCATTAGAAGCGTTAAACCTTCCTCTTTATAATGCCTTTTCATTCGTTATGCTACGACTTCCGGTTCCCGAGATATCATCGTGTAAAGAAAAGGTAATTTTTAATCGTTTATTATCTTACGTGCCTCGCTCGCTTACTCGTACTTATCTCAAATTCCAGACAAATGGCAGAGGCGATTCCAGAAGGAAAACGTATGCAATTCCAAAAAGAAATATCGATCACTGGACTCGTGCGTAATCTCTGCTACAATTTTAAGCACTATGGACACTTTGAGCGCTTATATCTCGGCAACCGATTGAGATATCGGGATGAATCAAAAAGTGAATCAAATGGCATGGTCTCCTCCAGTACTTCTCGAGTAAGTAATTTGACAAAATCGTTAATTTCTTCTCGCGCTTCTTTACAAAAATTTATCTTTCAGTCTCGAATAGTCAATTCTTAAATTTTTCGATACTTTTTATATCGAATATAGAAATATTTTCCATCCATGTTCAGAGGATTCTCTCGTTCGTGAATTTCGCCCCATTAACGATGCCACTTTCACCGTTTCGCGTTTCGCGGACCCATAACAATTTCATTTTCGCAAATGCAAATCGTTCACTGTCCCCACCGGGGACGTGTTTGTCACCGCGTTAACGCGTTGCTTTAATGGCGCAAAATTAGATATTAAATTTTCATCGCGCGCAATATGCGCGGATTCATAATAATTAAAATTGATTTAATACACGCGGTTGTGCATTTTTTTTTTTTTTTTTTTGTTTTATAACGATGCTCGTGATCGAGGTATAATTTAACTCGCATGGTAACTCGTCTCAACGTTCGTTCAACGTTCATTAATTAAACGAACTCGTTGTTCCTCCCCGCTCTTCTCAAAGAGTTTGCGGAATCATAATTACGAATAACGAGTGTGACAAACACAACTCGATTCCCGGAGAAACAAAAAAAAGACACGAGTCCAGTTCTGAATTTTCATCGATCGAACGACTTCCAAAAATTCTCACGCAAAACCGATTCGAAATTTATCGTTGATATTATCGTTGTCGATTACGACGTCATCTAGATACGATGATCTAGATGGCCTAACCATCGCAAATTGGATAACGATGGATTCCATCCTCATTAACGGAACCCTTAATTCGATAAGGTCTCGAGGATTTCGAGGATCATAGAGGCTTGTCCGATATCTCGATTCGATCCATTTTATCATTTCAAACCTGTTATCGTGCCCGAGATCGAATCGTTATCCTTCGTTATCCCAGGGCTTAATTCACAAATCGGCCAATTAACGGCCGATCAAATCGACCAGTTGATACGCGACCAATTTTTTTTTTTTCACCAGATTTTGCGAATTTTCGGTGTTGATGGCCGTTTAATTGAAACGTGCGGAAGCGGCGTTTAACCGTCGCTGCTCGAGCATCGACCGACTCGAGTTTTTTTTTTTCCATTTTCATCGCACGCTCCCGAAACTTTCCAGTTTTTCAAGTTTTATCGATGTTGACGGGATTAAATTCATAAATGGCTCGAGCTGGAGTCGGAATCGTCGAGGAGGATGGAGTTTTCGCGCGAGACAAGCGGGCCAACGCTATGAATTTAAAATGATGATAGGATGAATAGGCGAGAATTAAATTGTGTTTTCAACAATTTCAAAGAAAAGATGGCGCACAAGGTTTAATATCCAATCAACGTGTGGCAAGAGTTCGAGGTGAGTTACGAATAATCACACTTTTCTACTTTCTGCATCGATCAAATCATTTGAATTATTTTTTGTAAAAATTTTTTTTACAGAAACGAGCGCGGATGCATACACGTTTACACGAGGATAATAACAAGAAAATTCAGAAAATAGGAAGAGCACATTGAGGTAATAAATCTATGATCTAAATGGAGTAGAATTTCTGATAGAAATGTTTTGATTGAAACTAAGTGTCATCACAGAGAAGAAATATGCAATTTTGTTGGAATTCCAAATAACAAGGAATATCCGAATTCCTTCGAAGAACGAAACGGAGGGAGAAGCTCCATTCCATCCAGTGATGTTGCGGCAAACAAATCCTTCGGATTTAGGCATATTTGAAATTATTTAGGTTAGTAGGTAAATCCGTACGGGGTCGATATCGTGTCAGTTTCTCTCTGAGTGTGCGACGAAGATGGCATCCAGTGATTAGAAATGACTTTGACGCGGGCTGACAGTGATTAATCGACGAATCCGTGTAATGGAGACAGTTTATATATGGATCACAGGATCACGGTAATAAACGTGACATAAATAGCAACAATTTTTAACTCCATCTTTGCAATTGATACATTCTTTGTACGATAGAGTTAAAATATAAAAATTCTTTCTGCTATTTTTTTTTTGTAAATGTAAATGGATAATCTATTTGTATTTTTTGACCAATTGTGCCAATTAGATGGGAAATGGAATAAGGAGTGTAATATTGGAATATTCGAATATTTAGCATAGAAAATTTTAATGAATGTAATACAGGATGACTCAGATGGATAAAGTATGATGAAGTAAAAAAGAGATAATAATTGTTCTATATGTAGTTTGTATTTATATAGATTATGTAATAAAATTTTAATAATTATGATTATTAAATTAAGAATGATTAAATTTATTATTGATATCAAATATATATCCAAAATTATGATTTATTAAATTAAATTGTATATATTACTTTGTATTAAATTTTATATAGTTTTATATAGTTTTAATGAAATAGGATATTTTAATAAGGGAAAATTATTTGTGTATATATTTAGGATTTTAAACTTTGTTCCAATTGTTAAAAAAATAATGGTAAAAACGGAAGGAATTTGACAGGATGCGCGTCTGTTGAATATTAAAGCGCGTCTATGAATATTAAATAATACTATTAAAAAAGTAGTATCTGAAACTATTAAAACTTCATTATTTCGTATCGTATATCATCGAGTAATTTTTTTATGAGTTTCAACTTGGGGAAATGCATTCTAAACACTCGTGAAAGTATTATTAATTTAAAGAAGCTTATGCAGAAGATATGAACCACCCTGATTTGAATATACACAACGCTTTGGTGCCATATTTTGTAATTTATTCAAAGATATTTAAGATATTAGAATAAAAAATTAGAATTCTAATTCTATTTCCTGAAAAATTAATCAACGTATATTTTTCTTTGACTTTTTTTGGTAATCTAATAATCAATTAATCACTCGATAATACATATTCAAAGTAGATTATTCCTCTATTTCATTTTAATTTATTATCAATTTTTATCGAAAATCAAGTCATAGAAACATAATTCTCTATCTCAAAGCTCAAATTACTTATAAAATTATTATTCGATAACTTAACAATTAATTGGTTCTCTAATATCTATATAAACTGATACAGGATACTTCCAAATGAATCAAAAAATGAATTAATCGATCAAAAATATAATTACTCTCTTGAACAAAATATAAAATATGTACGTTTTTTCCTCAACTCGAAAGACGAAAAGCGAGAAAAAAAAAATCTAATTTCCATCGAACCAAAGATTCTCGTTTGCTCGTTCACGACAACATAACCATTCAAAACCAAAGCTACAAAGTTTCTTTTCTCCCTTTTTTTTCTCCACCCCCACTCCTCGTGGCCTTTTTATCCCGTGGTCGAGAAACGAGCGGCCGCTGAAGAATTCTCCGCGTAATTCATAAGTTCCTTTTGTCTCGGGCTGCCTCGTGACGGAAGCATTTTTAATTAGGCTCCTGGCTTCTTCGTCCGAGGAGAAACGCCACCGTTTCACGCTTACACGATATTCCGATTTACTGGCGAGATTCAATCCTTATCGTGCCTCTTCTTTTCTTTTTTATCGTTTTGCCGTTTCTATCGTTGCCCATTTCCGCTTGGAAAAAATTATTACGGAGATGCAATCGAGACGGCCTCCGAGAGGAGATGGCGATTCTAGATAGTGAGGTTAGGTTTAAGATAGGTCGAAATGTGCTGGGTAGTCTCGATAATTCTGATCTGGTATTTTTAAGGATGTAAGAATTTATTTGTTTCAGATAGGTTGTAGATTTTAGATTAGTAGAATATGTTATGTAACAATATCTATTACAATAATTTCTTTTATTGGATCAGTGGTTTTTCTTCCTTTTTTCGCAAAAAAGTTGGATTTTAAAACGATAAAACGATTCTTCTTTCGATTGTGATATCGAAGACGACAAAGTTGTCTTTCTCTCGAACCTTTTTTTCGATTTTATTTATATAAGAAAGATGTGTTTCATTGATCAAAATAACGCAAATGACCAATTTGTTTGTATAATGAATTCCCTGATCGATAAAATAGATAGATTTTAGAATCAATCGAGAGAAAAAATTATATTTAACTATATATTAAATTTAAAATATTATAGTCTACTTTCAAAAGTTCTCTTTAAATTTTGGAAATCTAAAATAGGATGTTGTGCTTAGACATAAATTAAGATAGATTAAATTCGTTAGTCATAAAAGGAGATAGATTAAGATAGATTAAGTTTATCTTTCCTTTTCACATCATATAGGATATAGTTGTCAACGTAATGTACAAGCTTCACTTTAATTTTAGTAAATTAGTAAATTAGATTTGTATTTTATTATAATTATTTTATATTATAGTTATTCACATTAGCATTTTAATATTACATTATCTTTCAATTTGTAAGTAATATAGAAAAGTATTATTTAAATATCATAAAATTTTATAAATATTACTATATTTATTATTATATTTTTTGAAATTGTTTATATATAATTTATATATAATTTTAATAATCAGTTTTTATTATATTCTTATTATATTTTTAATCGAGTTTTTTTAATATAGAAATTTATAATTAAAAGTGTGATATACAATTCTTTAATTTTCGCGCGGTTAAATAAATAAAGAACTAGTTGCTCTAGCCAATTAGAAAGCTTCTAGACGACCGTATGGTGTCTAGACATGCATGGCGTCATTCTTCGGTCGAAAATTAAGAAACGTGAAGGGACGTATCGCCGGTTCGTGATTCCTATAACACAGTAATTCTGTTTGTGTTTTGTTAATAAATATATAGTTTACTGTTCGTTTAATATAATCCATTGTGACAAATATATTGTGATAATAAAATTATTTATTATCTTTCGAATTTCTTTACTATCTTTTCTTCGACCATCTATACGACGATTGAGGTTACCGCTAGCTCGTATTATATTATAACCTTTTTGATCATGATTTCAGTTTAATTATTGCTTTATTTAATTATAATTTTTTATTTTATATATTTATTTTTATGATTTTATTTTTTATTTGTCCAGATTAACGTTTAATGATTTCGAAGTTATGATTTTTGCATGCACACCCCATGATAATTTATTGCCAACGATTTTTTCGTATATCAGGTAACGTGTTATTTCTTTTCACAAAGATAGACATATTTAGAATAGCTTTTTTATTGTTTTTTTATTCGTATTGAAACAAATATGTAACAGTCGTAATAAATTTTATTTCGTCAAATTATTTTAATTTAACACATGCATATTTTGTTTCCAAGTTTAGCTATATTGTTTGTATATATCTTTCTTTTTTTTCATCTATATTATGATCAAGGAATCATACATATATTTTTATTATAAAATTTTTCAAAAAAATTTCGTTTTGTTTTCGTTTCGACTCGGTTCGTGGTCAACCATATTTCTAATTTTTATTTCGATAATCGAACTCGTGGTGCAACGTGTCATTGTAGTGTCGATTATTGTATTGTCGAGACGTGTCTCTTTTCCTTGAGGTACGTAATTTATCTTTTATATAAAAATTTAGTTCCATAATCATTCTTTATCATTAATATAATCAATTAATATGTTTATTGATATAATTGAAAATTCTTTAAGAGCTAAAGTATTTGTTTTCTTTATTCGTCTATTCGAGAGTTAGAAACAATGATGCATGATTTTTTAAAATTTGATATTATTTAAACTTTTCTAAAATTTATATTCAAAATTCAAATAATTTTTTAAAATGATTTCAGCTTGATTATTGTTTAATTTTAATATGATTGGTTAATATATATTTGATTGATATATTCATGTTATATATTCGATTTATCGAACATACTCGTTCTCTAATTTCTATTTCGATAATCGAAATCGCGACGTTGGGCGTCATTGTAGTGTCGGTAATTGTGGTGTTAAGACGTGTCATTTTTCTTCGAGGTATGTGATCTTTCTTTTTCATAAAATTTATTTCCGTGGTTGTTCTTTATTATTTTTACTTCAATATATTTGCTTATACGTGTTTATTTATGTGTATTGAAAATCTTTTGACAGTTAAATTATTCTTTTTTTTTATTCGTTTATTTGAAGGTTAGAGACACGAATAATTCATACTGTGATTATATAAAGTGGAATTTCAGCTTGATTATTGTTTTATTTTATATAATTGATTAAATTTATACATTTTATAATTTTTTTTTTTATATTTCGATTTTTTGTACAGATTATTAGCCGATTGTTAAATTGCTGAATTTCGAAGGCGGGAAAAATTCCAATATGGACGCCATATCCTTTTTCACGATAAAGAAGACACGGTAAAGTTTGATATTTTAAATATATATCATATATATTTGTTTTATTTTCATTATTAGCGATTGTTGTTAAGTAATTCGTACTTTTTCGTACTATTTCTTTATTTCTGAAAAATTAATAAT